ACCAAAAGTGTCATCAACTTACGAGGACGTTCATGCCCCATTTGTATTCCAGTGTCTTTCTGTTCACTATGATGGGCTCAGTTTGGTTTGGTGCTGCCACTGACTCCTTTTTCAGCACCGTCTGAACCTGAAGGGAGGAAAAATAAGGGGATGGGACGTGCATATTTATTTATTATCTGTATAAAAACAAGAGTTGCTTGGGGCGCGCTGGTGGCGCAATGGTTAGGGCGCACGTCTCATGTGTTGAGACTCTCATCTTGAGCAGTAGGCCCGGGTTCACTTCCACCCATGGCCCCTTTCCACATGTCATTCCCCGCTCTCTCCCCCTGGTTTCCAACTCTATCCACTGTCCTGTCTCTGCATTAAAGGCACGAAAAAGCCCAAAAATAAATCTTTAAAAGAACAAGATTTGCTCGTCAAAAAGTCTTTCTCTAAAAGTTAACCTTCAAAAAGGGGGTTGTCTTTTATTCAGACTAACACTTGAAGATAATAGCTTACTGGCTAATGCTAGCTATCCACAGATGCAGCTGGGTAGCTGAGGACCTGTTTAGCATATCAACAGTGGAGATGCGGGAGTAAAAAAAGCTGCAGCTACAACAAAACATGGAGATAACTAAAAATGTTTTTTTTTCTTCATGACAATTTTGTTACAAACATTTACCAGCAATGTGGTCGATAGCACTCTGAGCGTTTGTCTCTCTGCGGTTGTTTATTTTGGAGCCTGACTTACATGATTCTAAGTCACAAAGCAAAACCATAATTGTTACTCATTCTCTGTGTGTAAACAACAATAGCTTGGCAGCACCAACGTAAAGTCATTTTTTTTGTTTAAAAAAGGGTAAAACAGAGAACTGGAGGTTCCAAACAAAGTGAAAGAAAAGAGAGACAGGCGAGTTGAAAGGGTAAGAACGAGTCCTTCCTGCAAAAGCAATTATGTCTTTTATGACTACAATGAATCCCTGATGAGTACAAACAAAGGAGACAGTAAAACAGACAGGAAAGTGATTTAAAGAGAGTTATAGAGAAAAAAGGAAAATGCAGAGAAAGCGGCAGGTTGGAGAGAGAGCAGCAGTCTTTAAGCTGAAGCCTCACTGTGGACAACAGGGATGTAGCACTACAGATGTAAAGGGATTAGCAGTAACAGAAGGGGCCGACCCTCACCCAGCTCAACACAGACAACTGCTTCTCATCATTCAGACTCACAGAGCGGAGAGAAGAGGGAAAAACATCATGATTGAGTCTGGGATTAGTCGCTTAAAAGTGACCAGGTTGCATAAACAGTAGTCGTCTACTTCCTATTCTCATCTATACCAACATTAGTATCTACCTGTGGATCATAACATACATCTTATATTTATGACCTCCACTGAAGAGGTCAAGCTTCAGTGATGTTTGTCAGCAAGAAACATAAGACACCACCTCATTGGCTATTGTAGGCGGGAAACAGTGAGTGGAAGCTTGTAATTGGCCAAACGAGATGTCAATCGAAAGGTCAGAGTGCAGCCATCGTTTGACGTAATCCAAGTGAAGAAATTCATACAATAACTTTAGTAATGAAAGTAAAACTGTGAAAAAACATGACAAATCAACATGAAAATATGAAGCAATCCAAGGATCGTTATGGATATAATGTGTTCTGGATTAAATCTTTCACTGGATTTGGATCGCGGGGACCCTTTCTGATTCAGCAGGACTGTTTTTGTTGGAGTACTATGACTGGTTGAGTACAGTAAATCCTCAAATGGTGATACAATCATTTTAGCGTAGTGTTTTCGTCGTTGGTCTGACAGATGTGTAGATTGTTGCTGCTGTGGTGGTTGGATCTTTAAATTGTATAGATGGTCAGAATCGCACAAATCGTATCTTCCTAGCAATTTATGGCATTAGTAATATTGATAGCAGTTGTGTACATATTGGAGATGATAAGGAAAACACAATTCTGTGAAGTGAGAGCCTAGCTTATGTTGCTTCTTTTATCCAACCATCAGTAAAGAAACAGAAAACTTAAATGCAATGAAATATAAAAACAGAACGGTAAAAATTGCTAGCATACTAGAAGTTGTAACCTGCAAATATTTAATGTACAACTTCTCAATCGACTCATTGTTTCCCTGTTTCCTCAAGAACATTTATTTTTCATTTTTTATGAGCTCAGCTTTTATTTCCACCAACTAAATCTTGGCAATTAGACTTCAAAGGATGCTCTCTTCAACAGAAAGCAGCCTTGGCCTTTTGGGCCTTTTTCACTCACTACTCACACATGTAGGAAACATTGTGTTCGGCTTTGGAGGACGACTGAACACTCCTGAGATCACATCAGTCGTTAACAACTCTCTGTCCTGCTTTCATTTTGTCAAACCGCTCAGTTAATACCTTGAACAGATGATGGACTCTGACCTTTCCTTGTTCACAGACAGGGATCTTTATCATTATTTGGTAAAGATCAATAACGGCTTTTGACCATTGGTGAAAAACTCCACCTCAAGGTCCATTCAGTAGCCGTTACAGAGCTTTACATCAGCAGATGTAAAGCTCTGTATTTTGGTGCCTTCAACCTCTAAGTGTGGATAAAAATTAAGAGGAAAAACAAACACAGGTATGTATTAGATGCTTAGGTTACCTGTTGGAAGCAGGCCTGCACCAGGTTCTCAGGGAAAAGGTTTCTGAGCAGGTCCAAGAAGGCGTCCAGACTGCTGACCTCCTGGTTCTTCGGGGCTGAGTTTGACGCACCTGACCTCAGTTTGGGGTTCCCGGGGTGGATTCCAATCACCAGGATGACCCCGAGGATGGCAGCAATAATGGTAGTGGACATGTAGTACACCATGGCTCTGCTACCCATCCTGCCACTGGAGCGGGCATCCAGACCAGCCAGCCCTAAGGAGGGCAGAAGACCATCGGTGTTAAGATTAACTAAATTACTACTCACTTCAGAAAGCTAATGGGCTGAATGCTGATTTAAAAGTGAGATCGTGAGCTGGATATCATGCATAGTTAGTTAAAGTTAAATTGTGTTTAAATGTGTTATGTTCTTTGATGTGTTTCAGCAAAATGCAAACCCATTCTTCACAAAAGCCTAACCCTAACCCACCCTGAAATATAGGCATGAATTATTTTTAAATAGGTATCTCATCTTCTACCACACAGCTAAAAAAAAGGAAGCAATAACACTAACGACCAACATACTTCAGGTGTAAAGAAAATATGTTGGCTGTCAGCCTAAATAACAAAACCTGTTCATATTGTCCTTGGGTTATTGCACATTTATTTGGTACATACTGCGTATGTGTGTGTAGTGGCACACCTGTGATGAGGCTGGAGATGATTAGAGGCAGAATGAGCATCTTCAGCATCCTCATGAGGATGTCTCCTGGGAAGGAAACCATGGTGAGGGCACTGCTGTCCGTCACCTTCATGTACCGCAGCAGCATCCCAAACACCGCACCCATAACAACACCTGAGGACGGGAGCTTGTGTTTAACATACAGTGTACTTTATACTAAAAACTGATGCTAGCCTTGGTTGTTAAAATGTTTCTCTTGTCTTTATATTAATACTATTAAACAACAACAGCAACCTAGCTCTTACACCGTAAACATAAAAACGGGCTGTAGCCGTTTACCACAGAAAACAGGATATACATCGTGGGTTTCCCAGCCCCTACATACCCAGAACAGTGAGGCCCAGCAGCAGGTTGTGGGTGTTCCGACTACAGTGGCCTGCATCTTTATATGCGACGTCTGTGTTGTCATCTCGCTGGCTTTCCTCTTTCTCCTTCACCTTGTTTGTGTTGGACTGGTTAGCTGTCGACTGGTTTGTCATCCTGTCTGTAGAGACAGTTACAGATTGGTTTACTGCTGGGAGATATATTCTTCTGCATCATTCTGCACTTGCAGGCCTGCACAGTATTCAATATTATTACAAATAAAATGTAAACAAAACATAATTAGATATTCACTGATTTGCCTCACTGGATTGTTAAAGGACCATCAAAGCATTCTTCTCATGTGGCTGGTTAGAATTCACATTTTTGCCATATTGAGTGGCTGCTTCTGTTCCTAAAGTGGGGTTGGGGACTAGCAGGGCTACCCACCACTCAGTCACGCTCCAGGAATGTCCTTTTTTCTATTTGGTTTGAGTTAGTGACGTTAAGAAGCATAACTGCAGGCAACCCAAACACAGCAGGAGATCGCTAAAAAGGACATGAAGAAACATCTTGAGAGATGTAATCTATAATCATTCACAAGATGGAAAAAAACTAAACAGAAACCACAAGAATCCAAATACATCAGCACTCAATGTAGTTGCTGATAGAGTAATATATATAAATTGAGTGGAAGATAGATATTGGTTAAATCCATGCTGGACAAGTACAGGACAGAATGGGACTGAGAGTCTACAGCAAGGTAAGCAGCCTTCTGAAGCTGTTCTTAAAGACAGTGGTGCTTTAAGCTAAATGCTAAAATCAGCAGACAAACACACTGAGAATACTAGCAGGCTGGAGATCAGCAAGTAATGATAAATAACTGTGTGTGACAACTTGGTGTCAATGCACCTCATAGATATTGAGATATTCCAATGAATATTTTAAACATTTTCTCTCTGGTTAAACTCAACAACCAGCCAGAGGATCAATACAATATCTTGTATTCTCGTTATTGGCATTAGGTATCTGTACTCATGTTGATGAAAATCTATCAAACATTTGGGAAAATACAAAATCTGAGCATCAATGTGGCATTAGATATGAATTCATTGTAGTACTAATATCATTAAGATTCATCATATTGTGTTGTTTGCATGTCATTTGACAACACACAATAACAGACATTGCTAGCATTGGATGAAATTCTTGTATTATGTGTGTCCAAATGCTATTTAGAAGCTTTATAATATGAAAGGATACAACTAAATGCAGAATAAGGGAGACAACATTAAGTACACATCAGTCTGAGAGCATTTAAGAATTTAACAAGCTTGCAAAAGACATCAATTCTTGAATTTGGCAAAAAAAACTCTCCAATAAACATACATCATTTGGAAGCAATGAGATTTTGTTCCAGACAAAGTCTTCACCTTCAACAAAGAGGAAGCGTCAACGAGTAAGAATGTGTCCGCTGTCCAGTATCACATACCGCATATCTACTCGGCAGAGAAAACTGAAGAGACCCCATCACCATCATGTCTAAACATTAATCCTATATAAACACATCTGGAGAGAAGCGCAGCCATGCCAAATCTCTGCAAGAAGTATCAATGTCACATTTACACTCAGTCTGACTCAGTGAGACAATTGCAATCAGAAATGATTACCATCCATCAGCTGAGCAGCACTGGGGACACAGTTAAACACATAAACTAAATCACACTTTTCAAGAGGGAACACACAAAGAAAGGTTACCTCGTTGGTCTGTTCTCACAATTTAAACCGCCACTCTCTAATCTTCTACTTTATCTTGCCATATCTCTGCCTCTCTCGGGTCGCTGCAACAGTCGCCAGTCCAGACATGAAGGCGGATTGCCAGTGTGGTCTGAAATTGTATATTTTGTAGGCGGAGAATGTCCTGATAAGTTTCAATTGCAAAGAATTAATCCTCAGTGAACGAAACACCCAGGAGAGGAGGGGGAGGTTGTTCAACGGCTAGTAGTCTGCACAAATCCTCTTTCCAATCCTTATGTCATTCTTAGCATGAACATTGTTTGGTAATGTCAGTCGACCACATATGCTTCAGTTGTAAAGCAGTCTATAATCTAGCTGGGGAGGGGGAGGGGGGATATAACATCCTCAATCTATTAAAAGTGATCTAATAGGCAACGTTATAATAATAATGTTAACTCCAGGTTTCGCCGTTTTTATTATAAAAAGGATAAGACATTTTCTCTTTAGATCAATGAGGTTCTGAAACCTTGTAGGGTGGGTCAGAAGCTTGGTTGAAAGCCAGTTTCTGGGCTTTGGAATAATTTGGGCAATTCAGGTTATTCTACAATGACATCCAATAATTAAGGAACTTCAGTCAGTCCATTTTTTTATCACTTCTTTCCAGTTCCCTGGACAACCATTCATCACACTAACCTCATGCTTGCCAGTCACATTGCTGAGCACTCAAGGTTGAGCAGCCAAGCAATCTGCTTGTTCCAAAGGGGGGCAGGACATGTTCCAAATGGTCATGCCCCACCCAAAGAGTCAACCATTCGCATCCCAATCAAAAAAAACTGATTTCCAAAATTTTGATTAATTCTCACCAAACAAAGAAAAGAAAATCATGTCTTAATTGTCCTGCATCGTTGACTTTATTTCTTTTTATTCCAGTTGTATATACCTCTTATTTCATTTGTATTTATCTCATCTTTTCTGTTTCCATTTTTATTTTGAACAACTTACTTGGTACTTGTCTTTGTGTTGCTGCGATGCCAGAATTTCCCCTCTAGGGATCAATAAAGTATTATCCAATCAGAAAATGTACCTTTCGTGTTTTTGCTATTCTATACTGTTCAGCTATGGTTGGCTCTACTAAAAAGCTAGCAGGAGGTCCTATATTACAACTGTAATTTATCCTTAACTATCGCAAACAGATTTGTGCAACTCTAATGTCTGAGTGATTATAACAAATGTTGTTCCATTTGGCCTAACTTTAAGGGAGGCATCTTTGTCTCTGTTTGTAAGACTGTCCTTTGTATATCTCAGGAATATATAAAACAGAGGTTCTTAACAACTCTGCAAGCAGAGATCCAAGCAGCTGGACTATTCCCAATGGGAACATTGTCTGGACAGATCTGCTGAGAATAGGCATTGCACTTGTGTATTCAAAAAAAGAAAAGGTCATGAACTTACAACTTCACATGTATAAGAAAACCTAAGACCTGGTTACATGTATCGGAGATAAAAATAGAGATGTTTTTCATCATTGCTAGCAGTAAAAGCTGGAAAATTAAACCTTTTTTTCCCTGAGCAGGTCAGATGGAGTCCCTGACATAATGAAGCAACAGCATGTGTCCTGGGAGGATGGCGGCGCTGAGGAGTGTAAGCTGCTAGGACACACTCAAGGACCTGAAGCTGCTCGGAAAATCTGACTTCCTTCTGCAACAGACAGATTACTTTCCTGCTCCAGGAAATGTAAGAGCTGCCTTGAGACAAAACATAGCTGGCCTCTAGGAACTGGCTCTTACTGGACTGTCTTGGTGGCTCCGTCAAACTGTGGAAAATGGATACTTTTTACAACCGTGTAAGGTTGAATTTCACTCCTTCGTTATTCATGTCTTGCCTGAAAAGTACTTACCAAGTACTTTTCAGAAACAGATGCTGATCAGACTATCTAAGCGCCAGCCAAAAGAGAACTGACTGCCATACGCATGCTTGTTGCATCATATTACAGCTTAGTGTAACCCAGGGTTACTAGTGCCATTATCTTCTCACTTTTATTATTTAAATATTGAAAATAGTGTAAGAAATTGATGTAACTTGTAGCAAAACAGTTATTATTAATTAGACAATCAAACTAAAATTATTTGTAAAATGACAGCTTTAATATAAGAAAAGTGTTTTGTTAAATACTGTTTTGTGTATTAAATGCTAATAAACATATGTGATCGGTCAACCCACCTGTCAATCTTAATGTCATGTTGACTAAATTAGCCATTCTAAAATAAGACCCACAGAAAAAATGAATTGTTTATATATGGTTATGAATGAGAGTACGATGACAAATTATTTGGTGTTAAATTTGTTTATTGAAAAGAATGTGGCATACAGTGTGTTTTACATTGTATTTCATCTGAGTCCTTTGTCATAGATGACAAACGCTGTTGATATTTAATGTCTAATTTAAAGTTCAAGCATTAATTAGGCTTTTCACTGTTTTTGTCAAGGCTGGGGTTTTTTTGTGAGTTGGAGAAGAAAGATTCCATGATCCCTGTTTGTCTGCGACCTGCTCATCCTCCCTGGAGTGCTGTGGTCGTTTGCAGTCTGGCGAGCCATCCATCCATTTTCGAACCCTGAAAGAAGGAACAGTTTATATTCAATTCAATTCAATTAAAAAAAACTTTATTTGTCCCCGGGGGGCAATTCAAAGGCACACAGAGCAGTAAATTAACAACAGTGCAAGTAAACAAAACATTTTAACCTAAATATAAAGTGTCAATTTAAATACAACTTAAAGCTTAAACTTAACTTAAAAATACAAAATATAAAAGAGTAGATATAAGTGGACAGTGATCGGACTAACAGATGTAAACAGATGTAACCATAACTCTGTGCAGTAGTGACCAGATGTAAACAGAACTATGTGCAGTAAGCTTGTTTATTTTCCCAACTACGTTGGTGGTAGGACTATAGACTTTGATATAGTGGTTTAAACAACCATAAGGACCCGAGTAAATCTTTGTTGTTTGTTTGTTTTTTTTTGTTTTTTTTAATTTAATGATTTGAGGTTCAATATTCATATGTCTGGACAAACTGCAGCCGCTTCAGTGTCACATCAGTGTAAGCGTGCAGTGTTGTAAAGTGTTCAGCCAGCATGACACAAAGGTCCCTCCAAGGCGTAGACGCATTTGCGAACACCTTGATTATTAGTGTGCAGTTGGTCTCACACTGTGTTTTGAGCAGCACCAGGATATTCCTCCAGACAAACTTGACTGTATCTGCTATGTGAGCATCCTCAAGGTCGCATGTCAGGATCCCGATCTTCTCTTCTCCAAGCTATCAGTGGGTCGATAACTCAGGCCACGATCGTCTGGTATGTCGTCAGTGCTCAGGAGTGTGTTGAACACAACTTTCTGAGATCCCTCAGCAAGGCAGCTGTATCGCTTCTCAGATTTTATCAGCTCATCT